TACCAAAGTCCCTATATATCTTTCGATTTGCACAAAATTTGGCATAGCGTACTGAATTAAGTCTAGAATGATGTGTGCAATGTTTCGTGAAAATCGGTTGAGATTAAGATATAGCTCCCATATATATTTTCGTCCGATTTAAGGTAAATGGAGCACCAAAGTCCCTATATATCTTTCGATTTGCACGAAATTACTGAATTAAGTCTAGAATGATGTGTGAAAAGTTTTGAGAAAATCGGTTCAGATTTAGATATAGCTCCCATATATATTTTCGTCCGATTTAATGTAGATGGTGCACCAATGTCCCTCTATATCTTTCAATTTGCACGAAATTTGGCATAGCGTACTGAATTAAGTCTAGAATGATGTGTGCAAAGGTTAGAGAAAATCGGTTCAGATTTAGATATAGCTCCCATATATAGTTTCGCCCGATTTTAGGCAAATGGTATGCCAGTCCATATATGTCTTTCGATTTGCACGAATTTTGGCATAGCCTACTGAATTAAGTCTAGAATGATGTGTGCAAAGTTTCGTGAAAATCGGATCAGATTTAAATTTAGCTCTTATATATATTTTTTTAGTCCGATTTAAGGTAAATGGTGTACCAAAGTCCCTATATATCCTTCGATTTGCACGAAATTTGGCATAGCGTACTGAATTAAGTCTAGAATGATGTGTGTTAAGTTTCCTGAAAATCGGTTCAGATGTAGGTATAGCTCCCATATATATTTTCGTCCGATTTAATGTAAATGGTCCACTAAGTCCTTGCATATCTTTCGATTTGCACGAAATTTTGCGCAGCGTAATGAATTAGGTATAGAATGATATGTGTTAAGTTTCCTGAAAATTGGTTCATATTTACATATAGCTCCAGAATATATCTTCGTCCGATTTAAGGTAAATGGAGTACCAAAGTCCCTGTATATCCTTCGATTTGCACAAAATTTGTCATAGCGCACTGAATAAGTTTAGAATGATGTGTGCAAAGTTTCGTGAAAATCGGTTCAGATTTAGCTATGGCTCCCGTATATATTTTTGTCCGATTTTATGTAAATTTTGTACCAAAGTTCCTAAATATATTTCGATTTGTACGAAATTTCGCACAGAGTACTGATTTAAGCCTAGAATGATGTGTGCTAAATTTCGTGAAAATCGGTTCAGATTTAGATATAGCTTCTATATCTGACCAAATGAAAAATTTAGTATCGGTTGCAGAATGGCATGTTTATGGATCCAATTTCATTTTACTGGTCCTTTAAAAATACGACGTCTGTTAGGATTCATCTGTTGAATATACCCAAACTGGTGAAGGGTATCATATAGTCGGCCTCGTCCGACTTTACTACTTTCCTAACTTTTTTTTTAATTCTTCCTTTTGTAAGTATTTTTAAATTTTCTTCGGAAGCCATTAGAAAAATTGTTAGCCTTTAGGGCCTACATTTATTTGGAATTTTTTTAAATCCTCTTGTTGTCCTCTGGTGTTCATATTTTTGGTGAATGATTGCAGCTGTTTTAATTCCCTATAATTTCAGTGCTCCTTTTTTGCCATTTCACTTTCCCTTTTATTGTTTTTGTTGTTGTCATTCAAATCCCTAATGAGAGAACATTGTTCGCGAACAGTTTACGTTTTTTTGAGGACTTCCAGGGAAATTATTCATTGTTTCCCATGTGTGTACATGAATCAGTATGTATGGGTGTGTTGATGTGTGTTTTTGTGTCCTCTTACGATTTTATGTTATTCTAATCCTCAAAATCCTTTGGGATGTAAAATGCACACAGAGGGAAACTCCTTTTGGCAGGAAGATTTGTTGTCATGGCTGGTATCGAAACAAAAGGAATGATACGAACCAAGTCAATCTTAAGCCATGTAGAATGTCAATGATTTCTGTGAGTGTGTGTGTGTGTATGTGGAGCTGAATGTGGATTTTCAATCTGTTTCACATAATCTTCAAATGTCAAGTAAGATATACAGAGGAGAGTTAACACACATACGGCAGATATGGGACCGAAAGAAATACGACCAGGATAATCTGGAGGACAGAATAATTAGCAGGACTTTATATTCATCTGAAGTTGGGATTATTTTTTGTTTTACTATCTGTGTTACGGCTCATATGAAAAAACAAAACAGGACAATAATATAATAATAAGGATTGAAGAAAACGAGAAATGGGACCATTTTTGGAAGGGGGAATGGTAAAAATCCTTGAGAAAATTTGAAAAAAAAAAATTAAAAAAATTGGGTAAACTTAAAAAAAATAATTTTTAAACCAGTAAGCGGAGCATTGTAGTCGGACGCGACCGGCCATGCGATACCCTACACAACTATTTCTTCGGATTTTTATTCCGAGCCAGGGTAATATTTCGTGCTGTTGACATATTGCCCGATTAGATGTCAACAGCACCTCTTCCTTACACTGACATATTTTCCAAATATTACCAATATTCAGTACATCCCTTCTAATTACTTGTCCATATTCCCTTCACCGTGGGTTGTGTTGTGATGTTCGGCTTATAACTGTAGCCTATAGATTGAATCGAAAAAAAAACACACACACAAAAAACTAAGTTTTCGGTCCACTTCATCCCAAAATTATTATCTGATCATCGACGAAAATTATAGGCATTGTACTTGACCATAACTGGAACCTGATGGAACATTTCAAAGCGATTAGGGCTATATTTCCGCCCTCTAGTGTGGTAATGGGTTGCCAAAAAATATCTGAGTACGTAAGCACCTGTAAATATTGAAATGTAACTCCCACATCCGAGTACATACGACAATATAATTGGTATCAATGTAAAGGCCAACCACTCCTCTTGGAATGTACTATCAACTTATCGGCTCTATGTCCTTCAGGAGTAAATCTATACGCTGTAGAATACACATTTTGTAACTTTTCACACAAAAGTCAGGGTCCATTTGACACGTTAAATATTGATCGATCTTTATCAAAACAATCATGCTTATCTTTTGGCCCCATCCCCTTGTCCTTGTAAAAAATCGAGATGCTTGGACCATAATTGCGGCCTCTGGAGCGACCAGAAAAACCGACAAAAATTAAGTATTTGGTCCATTTCACCCCCTAAATATTAACCGATCTTTACCAAAAACAATTGGGGTCTTCATTGGCCAGAACCCATCCCACATACAAAATTTCGTGAAGATTGGTCCATAACTGTCGCCTGTATCGTGTTTACATATTATAATGGACAGACGAACGGACGGGCGGACACACATGTCTAGATCGACTCAGCTAGTGGAGATATGACCGGTAAACTTAAAGGTGGGTCTAGGACCAATATTTCGCGGCGTTACAAACTCTTGGGGCTGCACAAAGCTTTAATACCCTGACAACATAGTTGTGTAGGGTATAAAAATCCACACCTTGTGCAAACTTGAAAAAAAAATAATTTTTAACAAATAAGGAAAGCAGTAAAGTCGGACTGGGTCGAAGAAACATAATCATCATAATCACCATTTATGTAAAATCGGACGAATATATATGTATATGTGGGACCTCTACCGAAATCTGAACCGATTTTCGCGAAACTTAACACACATCATTCTAGACTAGAGCGTAATGAATATACGCTGTGCCACATTTCGTGCAAAGCGAAAGATATTTAGGGACTTTGGTGCACTATTGACCTAAAATCGGACGAAAATATATATGGGAGCTATATCGAAATCTGAACCGATTTTCACGAAACTTAACACACATCATTATAGACTTACTTCAATACGCTGTGCCACATTTCGTCCAAATCGAAGCATATGTAGGGACTTTGGTGCTTGATTTACCTAAAATCGGACGAAAATATATATGGGAGCTATATCGAAATCTGAACCGATTATCACGAAACTTAACACACATCATTCTTGACTTAGTTTAGTACGCCATGCCAAATTTCGTTCAAATCGAGGGATATAAAGGGACTTTGCTGCACTATTTACCTAAAATCGGCCGAAAATATATGAGGGAGCTATATCTAAATCTGAACCGATTATCACGAAACTTAGCACACATCATTCTAGACCCAATTCAGTACCCTATGCCAAATTTCGTGCAAATCGAAAGATATATAGGGATTTTGCTGCACAATTTACCTAAAATCGGACGAATATATATATGGGAGCTATAACTAAATCTGAACCGATTTTTCCCTATTTCAATAGGATTCGTCCTTGGGCCAAACAAATGAGCTGTGTCAAATTTCATCCAATTCGAATCAAGAATGCGACCTGTACTTTGTTCACAATTTAACATGGACAGATGGACGGACGGACGGGCGGACATCCATATATCGACTCAGAAGGTGATTCTATGCTTATTCTCAAAAGGAACTATGGGTCTATCTCGTTTCCTTTTGCCTGTTACAAACATATGCACAAAGACATAATACCCTGTACCACAGTGTGGTGAAGGGTATAAATATTTTTTAAAAAAATCTACGCCTATTATGTGGCTCAAAAAAATTTTTTTAAATCCACCAGTTGCTTTTTTTAATTTGTAAACCACTTTGTTTCTGTTCCAAGATCTACCCATCCATGAGATAAAATCCATCTATCATCTGATCCATGTTATCTCTTGGCTTGGTGTGCGTTCCAAGACTCACTCAATTAGCAACGCCCCCTAAATTGACTTGTATAGCTCCGCATGTGTTCTGCATTCAGTTGTGAAGTGGTCATCCAAGTGACAAGTTCAAAAAAAAAAAATAATAATTTTTAAAGAAGATAAAAATATTAAAAAAAGGATTAAATAGTGAAAAATAAAAAAGTATCCTTTAAAAAGGACTAAGTTTAAAAAAATATAAATAAAATAAAAATAATAATAATTAAATTAATAAATAAAAATAATTAATTTAAAAAATAAAAAAATTATTAAAAATATTAAGTTTAAAAATAAAACATTTATTTTTAAAAATGTCAAAATATTTTTTTTTAAAAAAATAATTTAAAAAAAAAATTCAAAATATTTTAATAATAAATTCCCATCATGGGAAGCCTCCACTTTGCTGTGGCTACACTGCTGGCTTTAGGCTGCATTACGCCTCCCATTAAGGCTTTGGTTAATTCGTGAGTGCTCCCAAAAATTATTTTCCATATGAAAAAAAATATATTAATAAAAATCGTCCCTTTTTTCCAGTCCCAAAATAATCTCCAAGGATGGCCACCTAATTTTCGAATCCGGTCTGGATCGCAACATCAGTTTCATTCTAAAGGGCAAATCACGTTTGAATATCAATGACGAATACGATATTATCGATATGCTGTTGCAGCCAAAAAGGGGGCGTATTGCCGGCGGCACCGGGCTGGGTGAATGGACAGAGGAAGAAGAAGAACTGCTGCGTCAACTAATGGCCGATGTTACATCGTTGAAGACACAAGTCTTTGGGGCGAATGGTTTAGAGTCGCGTTTTCGTGTGCTACAAAATCGTACCCGTTCGGCATCACAATCGCTGAGACGTTATCGTAGTCGTATGCAGCGAGTGGAGACAAGGATTCAATCACTGACGGAACGTTTGGAAACCGACTATTGTCGCAGTAATCCCTGTCAAAATGGTGGAGATTGTTTGAATATTTTTGGCGGGTTTGTGTGCAAGTGTCCGAAGAATTTTGAGGTAAGGCGGAGGTGAAAAAATTCATCAAATTTTTTTCAAAATATTCTTCCTCGCCTCTAGGGTACCACCTGTGAAAAAGATGTGAACGAATGTGCCCTGTATGCGGGCACCGATTTGGGTTGCCAAAATGGCGCCCAATGTATAAATCAATTTGGGTCGTATAGCTGCATCTGCCAGCCAGGGTGGTTTGGCATCCATTGCACCCAACGTAAGGGTGATTGCCTGCAATCATCCTCCTGGGAGCTATGTGGTCATGGTACATGCATCAGTAGCAATGATACGTTCGGTTATAAATGTATTTGTGATCAGGGTTGGAAAACTACGGGGTTATTGCCAGCCTGTACCGTGGATGTCGATGAATGTGCGGAAAGTCATACTCCATGTGTTACGAAATGTATAAATTTACCGGGTTCATTTACCTGTGCTCCATGTGGCCCCGGAATGACAGGGAATGGGGTGACATGTCGGGATATTGATGAATGTGCGCAGCAGAATGGAGGCTGTAGCATGAATCCGAAGGTTCAGTGTATTAATTCTTATGTAAGTGGGAGTAAAGGGGGAAGGGGGAATTTATTTTTGAAAAATAAGTTTTAAAAATCGTTTTTAGGGTTCCTATCATTGTGGCGAATGTCCTTTGGGCTGGGTGGGAGATGGTCGCACCTGTGAACGTTCCACAACAACAACGACAGATTCCAGCTCTGCAACGGCAGTGGGTTCAATTACCACCTGTGCTACGGCAAATATTTGCCACCCCTTGGCGAAATGTAATGAAATTTCGAATACAGTGGTCTGTAGCTGTCCAGCGGGTATGGTGGGCAGTGGTATTGGACCGAATGGTTGTGTGGTGGGAACCGCACGGAATTGTGTCAATCAACCATGTTTGGTAAGTAGGACACGAGACGTGGATTTAAAAAAAAATTGTTTAAGGTCATATTTAAGGATTGGACTTCGATATAGCTCCCATACATATTTTCGTCCGATTTTATGTAAATGGTGCACCAAAGTCCCTATATATCTTTCGATTTGCACGAAATTTTGCACAGCGTACTGAATTAAGTCTATAATGGTGAGTGCTAAATTTCGTAAAAATCGGTTCTGATTTCGATATAGCTCCCATATATATTTTTGTCCGATTTTATGTAAATGGTGCCTCAAGGTCCCTATATATCCTTCGTTTTGCAGGAATTTGGCATAGCGTTCTGAATTAACTCTAGAAAGATGTGTGTTAAATTTCGTGAAGATCGGTTCAGATTTAGATATAGCTCCCATATATAATTTCGTCCGATGTTGAGTAAATGGTGAACCAAAGTCCCTAACTATCTTTCGATTTGCACGAAATTTGGCACAGTCTACTGAATTAAGCCTAGAATGATGTGTGTTAAATTTCGTGACAATCGGTTCAGATTTCGACATAGCTCCCATATATATTTTCGTCCGATTTTATGTAAATGGTGCACCAAGGTCCTTATATATCCTACGATTTGCACGAAATATGGTATAGCGTACTGAGTTAAGTCTAGAACGATGTCTGTTAAATTTCGCGACGATCGGTTAAAATTTCGATGTAGCTCCCATATATATTTTCGTCCGATTTAAGGTAAATAGTGCACCAAAGGCCCTATATATCCTTCGATTAGCACGAAATTTTGCATAGCGTTCTCACTTAAGTCTAGAACGATGTGTGTTAAAGTTCGTAAAAATCGGTTCAGATTTAGATATAGCTCCCATATAAATTTTCGTCCGATTTTATGTAAATGGTGCACCAAGGTCCTTATATATCCTTCGATTTGTACAAAATTTTGCATAGCGTTCTGACTTTAGTCTAGAAAGATGTGTGGTAAATTTCGTGAAGATCGGTTCAGATTTCGATATAGCTCCCAAATATATTTTCGTCCGATTTTATGTAAATGGTGCACCAAAGTCCCTATATATCATTCGATTTGCACGAAATTTGGCACAGCCTACTGAATTAAGCCTAGAATGATGTGTGTTAAATTTCGTGAAGATCGGTTCAGATTTCGATATAGCTCCCATATATATTTTCGTCCGATTTATAGTCGGCCCATCTCCTATATATATTTTGGTCTTTACTATATATCTTTCCTTACTGGTTTTCAATATTTTTGTATTTTCCAGAATGGTGGCACCTGCATCGATAGCGGCAGTTCCTTCAAATGCCTTTGCCCGGTGGGTTTCATTGGTGATACCTGTACCCCGGCTCCCAGCCCCTGTAGCCCGAATCCTTGTCGCAATAATGGCCGTTGTCGCCCTATTACTACCTCTACAAACCGTTCCTTCACCTGCCAATGTACGCCCGGCTTCATGGGTGAGAAATGTGAAAAACAAGCCAACGATTGTGGTGGAGTCCTTTTCGGCCAGACAGGACAATTGAAATATCCTCCCGGCTCGCTATACGATCACAACTCCCAATGTGCCTGGATAATACGCACGAATGAATCGATGGTACTGAATGTGACCTTCCATCGCTTCGAATTGGAAGATGCCACGGAATGTCGTTTCGATTGGCTGCAGATTAATGATGGCCGTTCCGCGGCCGCTCAGATTTTGGGAAGATTTTGTGGCACCCATTTACCGCTGGGTGGGAATATTATAAGTTCGACAAATAATTTGTACTTGTGGTTCAGATCGGATAATAGCACTTCGAAGGAGGGTTTTGAGCTGGAATGGAATTCCATACCTCCCCAATGTGGTGGTGTGGTAAATGTGGAGAGTCATGGCACCATATCAAGTCCTGGATCACCAGGAAATTATCCCAAGAATCGGGATTGTCATTGGCTGCTAAAGGCTCCGTATGATAAGCGCTTGAAGTTGACCTTCTTTAGTTTGCAAATCGAGAGCCATGATAGCTGTAATTATGATTTTCTGGAGGTAGGTTGGAATGGGGGAGAAAAATAGAGGAGGAGGACGACGAAATTTATTGATTTTAAAATTTCCAGATCTCCGATGCCATTTCCGGTGAAGTTGTGGAGAAATTCTGCAATTCCTCCCATCCCCAGCCATTGCTGTTGCCCACCAATGAAGCTAATGTCATATTCCATTCGGATAATGTGGGTTCGGATAGCGGATTTCAGATTTTCTATTCCCTGGAGGAGAGGCTACCCGGATGTGGAGGTATTTACACAGCACCCGAGGGTAGTATTCAGTCGCCACATATAACCCAGGATTCGTTGTCGTGTGAATACGAATTGAAGATGATGGGTAGTGAACGGATCGATATGCATTTCCAGATTTTCAAAATGGCCCAGCAGGATTGTGTGGAGGTAAGTGGAGGGTGCTGATGAAAAATTGGAAAATATTTTTTTACCATAAAATTCTTGTAGATCTACGATATCGACCCTGCCACTGAGGAGAAGTCCCTGCAAGCCAAATACTGTGGAGATTATGAGGGCATTCCGCCGCTGATTCAATCCATGTACAGTCGGGTTTTGGTGAAATTCTATGGCAAAATGGGAGCGGAATTTAAAATTAAATATATAGCTGGTAAGATGACCGGGCAGTGGAACCGGGTCCAAATTTAAGTTCATATCTTGAATATTTTTCAATTTTTTCCCTTCAAGACTGCTCCTACACCTTTGAGGCCAACGAGGGTGTGATCATGTCCTCAGGCTACCCGAAACTTGCCAACAAGGATCGCTTCTGTACCTACAAAATAAATACAGAACCAAACACCGTATTGGAGATTCATTTTGAAGACTTTGATGTGAAGGATAGCAGTGTGGAGGGGGATGCGGATTGTGCCTATACCTCATTGAGGGTGAGTAGAGCTCAAAAGAAGTGGATTTTTAAAAAATATTGTTCGCTATTCTTCTTCCCCTTCTCCACCAGATCAACGATGGCATTAACACCAATCTTATGGGACCCTATTGTGACCAAACTTCACCCGATGTCGATTTTGTATCGAAGACAAATTTCCTCAGCTTAAATCTCAAGACGGCCCTGACATCAACAGGTCGTGGTTTCAAGCTAAAATATAAAGCCATACCAACGGGTAAAACCGATTGTGGTGGGGTCTATACAAAACCGGGTTATAGTATCCGTCTACCCACCAATGATGAGGGTACCTATATGCACGATATGGAATGTTATTGGGTCATTATGGCGCCCAAGGATAAATATATTCTCATCAATTGGAAATCTTTTATGCTGGAGGAATCGATGGATTGCAGCTATGATTATGTGGAGATTTACGATAATATGGCAAATGCGGAGAATGCTAGGCCACTGGGAAAGTAAGTAGATTTTTTAAGGGCTGCACAAGGCTTGGATTTTTTAAAAAATTATTTTTAATGGTCATACTCTTCAGATTTTGCGATGCCCACAAGCCGGAATCCTTCCTCAGTCATGCCCGCATGCTGACCATTAAATTCGTATCGGATTCCACAGATGCCAGGGGTGGTTTTGAGTTGAGCTACGAATTTGTGGATAATAAAAATCAATGCAATGGCATGATACACTCCTCCTCGGGTACCCTGAGGTCACCCAATTGGCCTGCCAATTATACCGAAGATTTGGATTGTACATGGGTGATCAATACCCCTCCCGGGACACAAATGGAATTGGCCGTGGTGGTGTTCGATGTGGAAGCTTCGCAGAATTGTTCCAGTGATTGGTTGGAGATAAGGTAAGAGGGTCAGACCCGCATTTCCGAAGGTCGATGTAATGTTTTTTATTTTGTTTTAGAAATGGCGGTTCGAATCAATCCTCCCTGCTGGGCATTTTCTGTGGCAACTATTCCCAAATACCCCATGCCATACCCTCCTTTACGAACCAGATGTATTTGCATTTCCATTCGAACAGCTTCGATAATCGCCGAGGTTTCCAAATCGAATGGTATGTTTTTTCGAGTGGTTGTGGGGGTAATTTGGAGGCGGATCGTGGTGTCATTACCTCACCCTTCTACCCTAACCCCTATTCGAATAGTGCCCAATGTGAGTGGCGTATACATGTCCATCCGGGGTCGACAATACATTTTACCATCGATGATCTGGCGCTGGAGGAACACCCGAATTGTCGTTATGATAAATTGGAGATTTACGAAGGCACGACAGAACATCGTAGCCGCATAGCCGGGCTGTGTAGTTTAGATGAAAATGAAATGGGCAAGAGGCAATATGTGGTGGATAGCCATGAAGCCTTGGTGTTGTTTGTGTCGGATGACACAAATCGGGAGAGGGGTTTTTCGTTGAGTTACTATTCCAATTGTAGTGTTACCCTGACGAAGCATTATGGTGTCATAGAGAGTCCAAATTATGGGGTGCCGGTGGCCGAGTATGGTCAGGAGGTGAATTGTACGTGGACCATAAGGGCGCCCAAGGGTAATCGTATCCAATTGGAATTTACCAATTTCGAGGCAATGGAGAAAAATGCCAAACTACAGGTTATGGATGGTAATCGCAGTGTGGAGATCCATGGTATGGGTCAGACTCTCAACTCCACCACCGATACCCTGGTCATTAAACAAACTTCGAATTTATTGACTTTCCAATTGGAATATGTCCTGGTGGGTTGTATGGGTGTGTTGCGGGCTCCAGAGGGTAATTTTTCATCACCCTCCTATCCACGAAGCTACCCCAATGATATGGAATGTATATGGGAAATTATTACCCAACCGGGTCAGGGTATTGAGCTAACCATCGACAGTATGGAGCTGGAAGATTCCGTGAATTGTACCAAGGATGCTTTGGTAATATCACCGCATCGTCAAACGAAAAATCCCCGGGAGCGCCACTGTGGCCATCGAGATAATTTACAGATCCACAGTTCGAGTCATCGGATGTTTGTACACTTCTACAGTGATGGCCAGAATAATGGCAAGGGTTTTACGGGGCACTATACCACACAGAAAGCAAGTAAGTGGAGGATATTGGGGGTCCGCAATCGGAAATTTGTTAAAAAAAAAATGTTCCCTATTTTTTTCTGCAGAATGCGGTGGAAAGTTGACGGCGAAAAATGGTGTCATCACCTCACCGAATTATCCCAATTCTTACCCCGAGGAAGCTGACTGCGAATGGACGATAGAGGTTGCCGAACATCACACCATCATCATTACCATCGAAGAAATGGAATTGGAAAATTTCTATGATTGTGAAATGGATTATGTGGAGGCCACCGAATCGACGAATGATTCCGAAGAACCAGTTAGCCTCTTCAAGCAGTGCGGTGATATGGATGATGATAAACAGCTGACATTTAGAAGTACCTCGAATGTGGTGACAATTCACTTCCATTCGGATGATTCGGTATCGGCACGAGGTTTTAAGCTGAGCTATGAAGAGGTAAGCGGGAAACAAAGGGCAGAGATTCGTATCTCTCGATAGGAGGAGATTTTTTGAGATTCCGATTTGATTATTTCGAAGTTTATTTGGAGACAAAAAAATCTCTTTGGAGCCTTCCAGTTTTTTTAACAAATTTTATTCCCTCTTACCTTGCCCAGGATTGCGGTCAACGTGTCGTATTGGATGAAAGTGATGTCTTCGGCATCGACTTCGTACATCATGTACCACGAAATCGGACCTGTGAATGGCAGCTGCTGGCCAAGGATCCCAATGCAAAAATTCTACTCACATTTACCCATCTACAAATGTACCCCGCGTTGGCCTATACCTACCGCAATGAAGGAGAGTGTTTGGAAAAAGGTGCTGTGGTCTATGATGGTCAGGATGATACCGCCCCAGTGCGTACGCGATTCTGTAAGTCCCACCCACCGGACATCATCTCTCACGGCCATGCTTTGACTTTGAAATTACCCATGAATATGATATCGGAAATTATTGCCTATGCATATCAAATGGATAATTATTGTATTGCATCGCACACTTCGCTGAGCGGAAAATTCTCGACACCCTACTATCCGGCATCGTATCCGGTGAATATACAATGTGAATGGTATCTAATGCCGAGTAAAGGTAATCGCATCCAGGTGACATTTGAATCGATGGATTTGGAAGATTCGGATGAGTGTAATAACGATTATGTGGAAATACGAGAATCGTCGGGGTTGGGTAAATTTTTGGGTGTCTATTGTGGTAATCGGCTGCCGCCCACAATCAGCGGCGCAGATGATTTGTTTATTCGTTTCCACAGTAATGATGATGTTGTGGGTGAGGGTTTCTTGGCCTCATATAGTTATGGTAAGTAGGGGAGGAGAGGATGAGAAGAGGGGAAGGGGAGGGATCCGCTAGCACTCTTCCACACTTTTTGTATGTTTGGGTGTGTATATTTCATTTTTTGTTGTTCTTATCTTCCAGTGAAACACAATGAATTAAACGGCACTGAGGGCGTACTGGAATCACCTGCCTATCCTGCCAAATTCCATAGCCATGACATGTATAGTTGGCGCATAACGGTGCACAAGGATTATGTTGTCCTGCTGACCATTAAACATATTGTGGATACGGATATCCCATATATTAAGGTAAGTGAAAGCTTAAAAATCTAAAAAGGGAGGTCGAAGTAAGGACCTCCGACTATATGGTACCCTACATCACTTTGGGTATATGCAGGAGTTCATTATAAAGGGTGCGAACCTCCGTACTTTGTTTATATGCCAAATATTATATTCTTCAAAAGAGATTGGGACTTTTGGTACGTCAAATACGGGAAATCCGTCGAAGGTATATCTGAGGGTCTTATAAAAATCCGAGTCGATTTGAACGAAACTCAACACATTTCATTCTAGACTCAATTCAGGACGCTGTGCAAAATTTCGACCCGATCGGACATATTTTGGGTTCTTGAGACGCCATTTACATCAAATCCGACGAAGTTATATATGGGAGCTATATCGAAATCAGAATCGATTTCAACGAAACTTAACACACGTCGTTCTAGGCTCAATTCAGGTCTCTATGCAAAATTTCGTCTCAATCGGACAAAAGTTGGACCTTTGGAGCACCATTTGCTTGAAATCGGACGAATTTTTATGTGGGAGCTATATCCAAACTGAGCCTATTTCAAAGAAACCTTACACATATTATTATAAGCATATTTCAGGACGCTATGTAAAATTTCGTCGCCATCGGACAAAATTTGGACCTATGGGGCTCCATTTACGTAAAATCGGACGAAAATATATATGGGAGCTATATCCAAAACTGAACCGATTTCAATTCAACTTAACACACATCACTCTAGGCTCAATTCAGTCGCTATGAAAGATTTCAACTCGTATCGAACACTTTTCAGGGTGGGCCACAAAGAACGTTTCCTTCGATTTTGTAGTATTTAGAGATTTTTTAGAAACTTTTACCCAGTCGATATGGCTCTAATTTGATATTTTAGGTTCTCCTTAGGTGGCAAGTCGCTTTACCAAAAATTATTCACACCGGTCCACTTTTAGGCTTGGCCTCCATATAACGACACTGCCGAAGTTGCGGATTTTTTACACATTTTCCTATCGAATTTGCTGTAATTTGGTATTTTGGATTCTCATGGGACAGGAAACTTCTCTACCAAAAATTATCCATATCGATCAGGTTTTAGGTATAGGCCCCATATAACGTTACCCTTCGATTTGTGGTATTTTAAGAATAGTGAACAAATTTTCGAATCGGACTGGCTGAACTTTGATATATTGGATTCTCATTTGGTAACAAATCTTTGTACCAAAAATTATGCATAACGGGCCATTTTTAGTTATGGTTCCGCATATAACGGTACCTCGGAATTTGCGGAATTTTGAGAATTTTTGGGCACGATTCTCAATCGATTTGGCAGTAATTTGATATTTTGCTTTCACATTGGGTACAAAATGTCCCTAATAAAAATTATCTATATAGGTCCGCTTTTAGGGGTAGTTCCCAAAATCCGATTTTCCATATTTTGAGGATCTTGAACACGTTTTTCAATCAAAATGGCTGTAATTTCATATATTAGTTTCTCATGGGGTAGATGATCAGCCTACCAAAAATCCTGCACATTGGTCCATATTTTGGTATGATCACAATAAAGCGGTACTTCCGATGTTGCGGAATTTTGAGAATTTTTGGTATTTTAAGAATTGTGAACAAATTTTCGATTCGAACTGGGTGAAATTTGATATATTGGGTTCTCATTTTGTAACAAATCTTTGTACCAAAAATTATGCATATCCGTCAATTTTTAGTTATGGTTCCGGTACCTCTGAATTTGCGGAACTTTTAGAGTTTTTGGGCACGATTCTCAATCCAATTGGCAGTAATTTAATATCTTGCGTTTACAGTGGGTAGAAAATGTCCCCACAAGAAATTATCCATATAGGTCCGCTTTTAGGGGTAGTTCCCATAATCCGATTTTCGATATTTTGAGGATCTTGAACACGTTTTTCAACCGAAATGGCTGTAATTTCATATATTAGGTTCACATGGGGTAGATTATCACCCCACCAAAAATCCTGCACATTGGTCCATATTTAGGTGGTGATCACAATAAAGCGGTACTTCCGATGTTGCGGAATTTTGAGAATTTGGGACTCATTTTTTTGTTCGAGTTTCCTGTAATTTGATATTTTGGGTTCTCATGATGTGGCAAAAATCCCTACCAAAAATTATCCACATCGACTCAATTTTAGGTATGGATCTCATATAAAGGTTCTTCCGAATTTGAGGAATTTTCAGGATTTGGAATACGTTTTTAAACCCAATGGACTGTAATTTGATATTTCGGGTTCTCATTGGTTGGCAAAACTCCCTACCAATTTTTGTCCACATCGGTTCACTTTTAGTTATAGACCTCCGAATTATGGGACCTCCGATTTTCGATATTTTGAGCTTCTTTGACACTGGGTTCAATGGAATATGCTATAATTTAATATGTAGGATCCTAAAGGGATAAACAATCACTCTACCAAAAATTATCCATATCGATCGATCTTCAGGCTCTACTATTTTCGGATATATATATAAAGTTCCCGCAACCAATATCGTCGTTCTGAAAGGTATAGGTGGAATTTCCCTACCGAAGTAGCTGTAATATGGCATTCCAGGTTCAGGGAGGGTCACAAATACCAACGGAGAACATTTTTAATGTAGGACCCCATATGCAGATCCAATCCAATTTTCGGTGCTTGAAAGGTTTAAGTCGGGTTATTCCTACCCAAGGGGTTGGAATTTTACATTTAAGGTCTCTGGAGCGAGGAAAATATCTTTGCAGAAAATTTTCGATATAGGCTCTATATGCAGATCCCGCACAATTTTCGGTTTTATTAGCATTTTCCTGATGTAGTGGCAAAAAATGTTCGGATCGACCGAACTTAATGTCCTTTTTACTTGTTTTCCTTGATGTATATTTAATTTTTTCCTTCTCCTCTTTTTCCATTCCAGTTCTATGATGGCTACTCGGACATTGGGGCCCCCATCGATTATGCCACCAAGCATGTGGTCCAAACCAATACCAACATCTTGTATATGACCGCCCAGCGAGGCCCCTTCCAATTTGAATGGCAACAGCTGTCGAAGCAGGCGGTACGCGACAATCAAACTGCCGAACGTATTGCGGAACTGTGTGGTAGTCAAACCTTGCGGGTCAATACCTCTCTCTTCTTCCACTCCCCCGGCTATCCGACGGGATATGCTCCCAACTTGAAATGTGCCTGGACGGTGATGCCCAATGATCCCAGCCGCCATGCTGTGGTGACATTCCTAAAAATCGATCTGGAAGAATATGCGGAATGTTTTGCGGATTATATCAGAATTTCCTCAAGTTCCGATTTAGAAAATTGGCAAACCTTGGATACAATGTGTAAAAAATCGTCGGATAAGGATCATAAATATCATGGTAGTCCATATTTGAAAATTGAAATGATAACCGATGCGGGAGTAAATAAGACGGGATTTACTTCGTTGATCACAACAAAATGTGGTTCGGAATTGTCAGGGCGTAATGGTTTTGTCAACGTTACCCTGGAGCGGAGTAATAATTATAATACGGAATGTGTATGGACCATCAAGGTGAGGCAGGGTAGGAGAATACGCCTGCAGTTTTTGGATTCCGTGCTGCAGGGCCAATTTTCGCCCGGGAATTGTAATGTTTATTTCCTGCTGCGCAATGGTATGGATGAGGATTCTCCATTTTTGGGCAAGGGGAAATATTGTGAAAATAATATCACCGATATTCTCGAGACATCGTCGAATCGGGCCTATATTAAATTTTCGAGAAATGGTTTTCCCGGTTTTCGAGCTTCATTCCGCTACGAGGAAATTGGCCATGAATGTTCAAGGGAAATAGTACTGAATGAAAATACCAAGTTCGATGTGGAGCAGGTTATCCGTTCTCCGAATTATCCCAATATACCCAATCCGCATACGGAATGTTTGTGGAAGATCCGAGCACCGCTGCATCGCACGATAACATTGGATTTTTATGGGGAATTTGATTTGGTAAGGGGCAGTGGAGCTGAAAATACCTGCGATTTGGAATATATACAGGTAAATGATGGCCATTCGGAGTTATCACCCATGATGGGTCGCTATTGCGGTACCACCAAACCGAATTCGCTGCGTTCGACAGGCAATGTTATGCGCCTGCTCTACTACACAGATGCCTTGGAGCCTCACAAGGGCTTCCAGGCCAAGGTTAGTTTGAGCCGCTGTGGTGGTTATTATTATGAAGAGGAGGGTGTGGTCCAAGCACCCGATGTAAAATTGAAACCCGAGGAAAAGGAGCTCGAATGTGTCTTCACCATTGAAACAGAACTCGGCACGACCATCCACATATCGATGGATAAATTAAAGACCCGAGAACAGGATGAAGATGATAAGGATTGCAAGGAGGGTACCCATTTGGAGTTGCAGGAAATTGATGCTTTCACTTCGGGTTTCGATAACATTACCGATACCCTGATTCTATGTTCCCAGGTTGGTAGCAGCTACATTGTGGAGACAAATAAATTGGTGCTGCGCTATAAGATTCGAAATGGCTATCACAATCCGGAAGCCTTCCAGGTGACCTATAAGGCGGTGGGTTCACGTTGCGATCAAACCATTGAGGCTTCGCAGGGCATTCTGCAGACTCCCAATTATCCGCTGGGCAACAACATGCCCATACAATGCTCCTGGCATATTTTGGCGCCCAAGGGTACTAGGATTAAGGCGGAATTCTTAGATTTCGATATGGGTTCGGAGGAGGCCATGGGCAGGGTGCATCGCAGGATCCTATTTGCCAATGATTTCAAGATGACTTCGATAATTGAGAGAATTTCAAATAACCCTCCTGCGGCTATTTATTCCACAGATAATACCATGGGTATTGATGCCCTGATTTTATCCTTTAGTCGGAATCGCGGATTTAAATTGAAATTCACGGCCTATGAGCGATCGATACATTGTCGGCCCTTATGGTTGGATCGCCAGTCCAAAGAGCTACAGGTTTTGAAGTATCAAAGGGACAACACCACCGCTGTGTATTGTAGCTATCCCATCAAGGTGGACTATAATGAGACCGTGTCCGTGCGGATCACCAAGGAGGAGAGGTATCCCAAGAACCAATATCTACCCTTCGGATGCCAGTACTTCAGTCCTCTGCAGTTGTATGTGGGAGAGGAGAGGTTACTACCCTCACTGATGTGTTCAAATGATACCCAGCCTTCGTTTAGGTTACCCTTCCCCTCCCGCCTGGTCCTAAATGGCAATGTGCGGAATTCTCTCAAGGAATTGGAGTTGCAATACACCCTTTACAAATGTGGCGGAATTTGGTCTCTATATTATTATGATGAGTTTAATATAACCCAACCGGCAATGGCTGGTCATCGAGGACCCCTGGAGTGTGCCTGGGCCGTGTGGTCCTCCATAGGGGATAACACCACGCCGCCTAGCTTTGACGAGCTTATCGAAGATATACAAATCGATTTGTCGCTGAGCACCAATTTCAAGGGGAAATGCGAAGAGGAGTATCTCCTAATCTACAATGGACCCAATCAGAATTTCCCCCACCTGGGACGCTACTGTGGTGAGAGTGTGGCCCGCGATCTTGTGGTAACCGGAGGAGGAGTCTTTGTTGAATTTATTAGCCTCGAATATAATAACCAATCCACCTTTAATCTCTCCCTACGTGAGGGTAGCGGCTGCGGTGGCAAACTCACCTATCCCTATCGTCAGATTCGTGTCAGCTATCAGTATCAGGATAATGTGGAGTGTATTTGGGAGCTAGAGACGGAACCAGGTTTTCATTTGGCTGCCATTTTTGAGGAACGATTCTTTATCGAAGCCAGTGCAAACTGCAGCAAGGACTACCTACTCTTCCAGGAGAAATCCCCTGAAGGTCAGTGGCAGGATTTGCAGAAACTGTGTGGTCGCAATCCGCCACGCATGATCAACACAACCTATACGCAGATGAGGATGATTTTCCGCACAGATGGCAGTGTGAGAGGTGATGGCTTTACCGTTAACTTCGAGCGGAATTGTGGTGGTCTGCTCTATGCCACAAATGATCTGAAGCAGATTTCCTCTCCTGGCTACCCGACGGCCTATTTACACAACCTGGTGTGTAATTACACCATTCTACCCTCTCCTGAAATAAATCACACGGAATCGAATAGCCTTTATTTGCGCTTTATAGAATTCGAAGTGGAGGATGCCCCGACCGTAAAATGTCTCTTTGACAATGTGACCATAACAACCACCGATATGTCCGGTAATGCCATCCACAATGTGCTCTGTGGCCGAAAGCGGAACTATGAAGTGCGTTCGAAAAATCCCATTCACGTGATCCTTCGAACCGACTCCAGCTATGGCTCCAAAGGTTTCCTAATGGAATATGGTCATAATAAATGTGGAGCCACAATTACCAACAGTTCGAAGATAGAATCTCCACGAGATTCCGCAACCAAAATGTATCCACATTCGAGTAAATGTTCCTGGTTGCTGAAGGCCCCAGAGAATCATAAAATCATTATCAAATTTGAGGAGTTCAATTTTGAAGGCCAGGGTATGTGTACCTATGATGGTGTGGAAATCTACAAGGGTCTCAACACTGTGGAGGATCAACGTTTGGCCAAATTCTGCGGCAATTTGACGGGAAAAATCCCTCCCATCACCATAAGTCAAAATACCGCACTGATACATAGCTTCTCCGATGAACGTGATGCTTCAACAGGTTTCCGGGCCCTGATTAGTTTCATAGCGAACTGTGATAATACGATACACCTTACGGCCAATAATAATACCTATGAATTTACCCGCTTCTCTGGGTCCTATGGCAATAATTTGGATTGTAGCTGGCTCTTCACGACCACACCGGATCGCCAGCTGCAGGTTGAGTTTAGCAGCTTCCATGTTGAAAGTTCGGAAAGTTGTACAAATGATTATCTCGAGATTAAAGATGGTCCGGGACTGTTTGCCGATACCATAGGGGTATTTTGTGGTCATGATAATCCCAGTCCATTGGTCTCATCGAGGCACTCGATGTTGATGCGTTTTGTTAGCGATGCTAATGATACGAGTACCGGATTTATGGCGAAAATTAAATCTGTGCCGAGGATGTGTGGTCAACATGTGTATGAGCTGAACGGCAGTGTGAAGGTGAGTTCGCAAAATACCGAAAATCTGATAATAAAGTGTTTATTAATGGTTCCGCGGGACGTATGAGTGGTGACAGTACGTATACGCCCAATTGATAGCATTGAGGTGTATAAGTGCTGACGTTACTAATACGCCTTCTGAGCATTTAAAAAAAAATATATTTAAAAAATCTACGCCTTATGGGTAGCCCGAAAAAAATTATTTAAAAAATCTACGCCTTATGGGTAGCCCGAAAAAAATTATTTAAAAAATGTACGCTACCATAGCCCGAAAAAAATTATTTAAAAAATCTACGCTTTATGGGTAGCCCGAAAAAAAATTATTTAAAAAATCTACGCTTTATGGGTAGCCCGAAAAAAATTATTTAAAAAATCTACGCTTTATGGGTAGCCCGAAAAAAATTTTTTAAAAAATCTACGCCTTATGGGTAGCCCGAAAAAAATTATTTAAAAAATCTACGCCTTATGGGTAGCCCGAAAAAAATTATTTAAAAAATCTACGCCTTATGGGTAGCCCTAAAAGGCTTTCGTCTTAATCTGCATAAGGCGTATAAGTAGCGTCAACACTTATCCGCATCGAAGTACCATTTTAAGAGACTTTTTATCGTACATTGGGTCGTACCAGTTCTGTCACCACTTATACGCCTCAGGGGATATGAGTTCGGAATTTTATTGCTTAAAATTATTTTCTTTGTTCTTTCCAGACCGCCACAATATCTTCTCCCGACGATGGATCGGGCAAATATCCCAACAATCTGAATTGCATTTGGAAAATCAAGAGTGACAAGAATATCCATTTGACATTTGAAAAATTGGATATAGAGGTGAATGGGGCCAATGACTCATGCTCCGAGGATTATATCAAGATCATCAATGGGGATGTAAGTATTTAGATCGGGTTGGGGGATGAAAGGAAACTTTAATAATTTATTTCTCTTTGCGCCATAGGATACCCAAGTCATTGACAAAGGATTGGGCACCAAGCTGATCTACAATGGCTACGACAGGAATTCGAATCCTTATGATATTTCCGATTTTGGTACAGAGCATATCTATTGCGGCAGCCATATACCGGATGATTATTTTTCATCTTCGAAATCGGTGTTTGTGAAGTTCAAGAGCAATGACAAGGTGGCGAAGGGAGGATTTAAGCTGAAGGCCACCATGGCGGAGGGTAAGTTTTAAGATAAGAAACTTAAAAACGAGTAGATTTTGAGTGTCTCTTCAATTGCAGGTTGTTTCCGCAACTTCACCGGCACCCAGGGACGCATTAAGCTTGCCGAATCCACAGATCATTGTGATATCTATATCAAATCCCCGGCGAATACTTCGCTGAGTTTGTACTACAATGAACTGATGTTTTCGGAATATGATTGTGCTCAGGAATTTATGGAAGTGTACGATGCCAGAACAAATACTTCCTTGCAAAAATTATGCCAATATGTAGAAACCGGAAAATCTCTATTCACGAATAGTAATGAACTGCGTTTGAATCTCAAGCTGAATGGTTATTATACCCAAATAGATTTTACCTATTTGGCTAGCAGCGAGGGTCCTGGTTGTGGTGGAGATTTATATAATACAGCTGGTATTATCACCAATCCTTTCTATCCGAATAATGTTCGCAATAATTCCGACTGCCGTTGGAATATTCGTGTACCGAGTAATATGAAAGTGTTGTTGCGATTTATTGTCTTTAATATGGGTGCGAAGTCGACGTGTCATACGGATTATTTGCAGTTGATTGAGTATGACAACTTTGTTGGCGGCCGTCCCGAGGGTGAGGGTAAAGTCGTAAGACAATTTTGTGGTGAGGTATGTCTTCCAGGTTCCTATATATCATGAGAATATTTTTTGTAAACTGTATATCTTTCTGTGTATTTTACAGGATGAACCGAAATTGTATACCAGCACGGGTAATTATGTCACTGTACGCTTCCATAAAACGGTTAATTATGATGGTACCGGTTGGGTTCTGCAGTTTTCGGCCGCCCAATCGGATTATATACAACTTATAAAGAGTTATATATAAATAATAAAATATATAAATATGAGGAATTGTAATAGAAAGAAAAAAAAAATAATTTTATGGACCATGGTGCGTATATATGTTGTCGTTATGTATACGCCACGTATGTCCATTCAGATTAATTTATTATTATTAATTACTCACTTTAATGCTAATAAATAAAAATAAATCATTTAAAAAATCCACGCCTTCTAGGGCTCAAGAAAAAAATTTTTTAAACCAGTAAGGGAAGTAGTAAATTCGGACTGGGCCGACTATATGATACCCTTCACCACTTTGGGCATATTCTACATATGTATCCTAACAGACGTCGCCTATTCGAAAGATAACTAATTTCAGTACGTCGTGTCAATAAATTTACATTATATAGGATAAAAACATATGTGGGAGCTATATCTATATCTGGACCGATCTTCACGAAACTTAGCACACATCATTCTCGACCTAATTCAGTGCCCTATGGCAAATTTAGTGCAAATCGAAAGTTATATAAGGACTTCGCGGCACCATTTACATAAAATCGGACGAAATATATACGGGAGCTATATATAAATCGGGACCGATTTTCACGAAACTCGCCACTCATCATTCTAGACTCAATTCAGTACCCTATGCCAAATTTCTTGCAAATCGAAAGTTATATAGTGACTTCGGTACGCCATTTACATAAAATCGGACGAAACCATATATGGGACCTATATCTAAATCTGGACCGATTTTCACGAAACTTGACACAAATAATTCGAGGCTCAATTCAGTACGTTATGCTAAATTTCGTGCAAATCCAGGAATATATAGGGACTTTGCTGCACCATTGACATAAAATCGGACGAAAATATATATGGGAGCTATATGTAAATCCGAACCGATTTTCCCGAAACTTAGCACACATTATTCTAGGCCCAATTCATTACGATATGCCAAATTTCGTGCAAATCGAAAGTTATATAGGGACTTTGGTGCCCCATTTACCTTAAATCGGGCGAAAATATAAATGGGAGCTATATCTAAATCTGAACCGATTTTCACGAAACTTAGCACACATCATTCTGGACCTAATTCAGTACCCTATGCCAAATGTCGTGCAAATCGAAAGATATATGGGGACTTTGGTGCCCCATTTACCTTAAATCGGGCGAAAATATATATGTGAGCTATATCTAAATCTGAACCGATTTTCACGAAACTTAGCACACATCATTCTAGGCTTAGTTTATTACGCTGTGCCAAATTTCGTGCAAATCGAATGATATATAGGGTCTTTGGTGCACCATTTACCCTAAATCGGACGATAATATATATGGGAGCTATATCTAAATCTGAACCGATTTTCACGAAACTTAACACACATCATTCTAGACCAAATTCATTACTCTGTACCAAATTTCGTGCAAATCGAAAGATCTATAGGGACCGTTTACATTAAATCGGACGAATATATATATTGGAGCTATATCCAAATCTGAACCGATTTGTTACGAAACTTTGCACACATCATTCTCGACCAAATTCAGCACCCTATGCCAAATTTGGTGGAAATCAAAAGATATATAAGGACTTTGGTGCACGATTTAGATAAAATCGGACGAAAATATATGTGGGAGCTATATCTATATCTGGATCGACCTTCACGAAACTTATCACACATAATTATAGACCTCATTCAGTACCCTATGCCAAATTTCATGCAAATCGAAAGTTATATAGGGACTTTGCTGCACCATTGGCATAAAATCGGACGAAACTATATATGGGAGCTATATATAAATATGAACCGATTTTCTCGAAACTTAACACACGTCATTCGAGATTCAATTTACTACACTATGCAAAATTTCGTGCAAATCGGAAGTTATATAGGGACTTCGCGCCTCCAGTTACATAAAATCGGACAAAACTATATATGGGAGCTATTTCTAAATCTGAACCGATTTTCACGAAACTTAGCAAATATAATTCTGGACCAAATTCAGTACCATATGCCAAATTTCGTGCAAATCGAAAGATATATAGCGACATTGGTGACCCATTTACCTTAAATCGGACGAAAATGCGTATGGGGGCTATATCTAAATCTGACCCGATCTTCTTCAATGTCAATAGGGTTCATTCTTGGGCCAAATAAGTGACTTGTGGCAAATTTCATCCAAATCGGATAATAAATGCGGCCTGTACTTTTTTACAATTTAACATCTACAGACGGACGGACATGCATAAATCGACTCAGAAAGTGATTCTATACATATTCTTAAAAGGAACCCTGGTTCTATCTCGTTTCCTTTTGCCTGTTACAAACATATGCACAAAGACATAATACCCTGTGTGGTGAAGGGTATAAAAATCCACGCTTCATAAGGCTCTCAAAAAAAGTATATATATATATATAAACCAGTGAGCGGAGCAGTATAGTCGGACGGGGCCGATCATACGATACCCTACACAACTACCACGGAATTTTAACTTTCTGCGGATGTATTTTCCGAGCTTGGGCAATATTTCGTGATATTTGCTCACTCTAGCCCGATTAGAGATCAACAGCACCTCTTCGCTACACTGACATATTTTCCGAATATCACTCATATTCAGTACAACGCTTCTAGTTAATTGTCCAGATTCACTTCACCGTGGGTTGTGTTGTGATTTTTGGCTTATTATTGGCATCGCATCGAAAAAACACAAAAAATATAAGTATTCGGTCCATTTCATCCCATAAGTATAATCTAATCATCACCAAAAGTTATATGCGTTGTCCTCGACCATAACTAGAACCTCATGGCAAATTTCAAAGCGATCAGCGCTATATTTCCGCTTATTACATAAGCATCATCAATCAAAACAGGCATGCTTATTCTTTGGTCCGATTCCCTTCTGCATGTAATATGTTCGGACCATAATTGCGGTCTCTGGAGCGACCAGAAAAACCGACAAAAATTAAGTATTTGGTCCATTTCATCCCCTAAATATTAACCGATCTTTTCCAAAAACAATAGGGGTCTTCCTTGGCCAGAACCCATCCTACATGCAAAATTTCATGAAGATTTGTCCATAACTGTGTCCTTTATCGTGTTTACAAATTATAATGGACAGACGGACGGACACACAAGTCTAGATCGAGATATGACGATCGGTATACTTAAAGGTGGGTCTAGGACCAATATTACAACTTTACGTTACAACTTTTGGGGCTGCACAAAGCCATAATACTCTGACAACATAGTTGTGTAGGGTATAAAAATCCACGCCTTCTAGTGCTCAAGAAAAAAAACATAAGTAGCCCGAAAAAAAGGATTTCAAAAATCCACGCCTTATTCAGGAAGTTTTAAAAAATCGTATATTTGTCCATTAGGTCGTATTAGTGGTGTCGTTACTTATACGCCACCCAGGTCTATAGCAAATCTACTCTATTTTGCTGCCTAGTTGTTCATCTCGGAAACGAATCAAATTGTATTTTCGTATGGAATTTTCTCTATCGAGGTAGTATACTCTTTTGGCCAGAATCACATCAAGAAATCCCCCATGAAATGTCCAAAATATAGCATTATTAATTGAATTAATAATTCTACGATGACAAAGAATACGATAAAGAGGAAGCAGATAAGAAAAGCAATAATGTGACCATAATAAAACATTTTTCCAACGAACCAAAGGACACTCATTTCTCTCAGACGGGACGGACACAACTAAACATATTTCGTATAATACCACCACTATGTCACATATGAAAGTTTTTGGCTGCAGATGTATTGTACAAGAGCTTCTGGCCAAATAAACATCGAAAAAGAAATGGTGATGTGGGGGGGGGGGGGAATACAACATATTCCACGAAAAACGGATGTTTGTCCCCGAAATTTGAAAAGAAAACACAAAACATTGTTTGTCAATCCAGTTAGATGACCGAGCGCCCACAGACGGAAACATAGGCCAGCCGGAAGCCGGATGTCTTTAATGAAACCATATTTCCTGATGTGTGTTGCAAAGCAATACACATAAGTTACAAGAGGAAGTTCGTTGTATGGGTGGTGTACCATATTGTCCACTAAATGCTGACTTTTGATGAGGCCCACCACCCGCACAACCAATAAACAACCGTCAAAAATACAATACACGTGTGTGTGACCACTTAAAATGATTTGTAATGAAAGCCTAGACATGACCAAATGTCACGTTAAAATAGCAACAGGGGATGTGTACGAAATTTTGATGGCCACTTACTGCAGGAGGGGAAAAGGACTGACAATTTTTCAGGACAATTGTATTTGATTGTAGATATTAAATTCAAATGTAATTATTAATAAAAATAAAATAAACAGATTTTTAAAATGATGTGCTCAGGTGCGTATAACTACTGTCGTACATCATACGCCATCAATATTTATATTTACTTTTAAAACCTCACGATTTACAGGTAGCTCGAAAAATATTATTTAAAAAAATCCAGGAAAAATATTAATAAAAAATTCAAGGCTTATAGGTAGCCCCAAAAAATTATAGAAAGAATCCACTTTTATACGTAGCTCAAAAATATTATTTAGAAAATCTATACCTTATGGGCAGACCAAAAAAAATTATTTAAGAATTTCACGCCTTATAGGTAGCTCGAAAATAAAAATATTTTAAAAATCCATACCTTATAGTATTTAAAAAATCCACGACTTATAGGTAGCTCGAAAAATAGTATTTAAAAAATCCACGCCTTATAGGTAGCTCGAAAAATAGTATTTAAAACATCCACGTCTTATAGGTAGCTCGAAAAATGATATTAAAAAAATCCACGCCTTATAGGTAGCTCGAAAAATAGTATTTAAAAAATCTACGCCTTATAGGTAGCTCGAAAAATAGTATTTAAAAAATCCACGCCTTATAGGTAGCTCGAAAAATGGTATTTAAAAAATCCACGCCTTATAGGTAGCTCGAAAAAATAGTATTGAAAAAATCCACGCCTTATAGGTAGCTCGAAAAATAGTATTTAAAAAATGCACGCCTTATAGGTAGCTCGAAAAATG